TTTTGTTATTAGAGATTTGTGTTGTTATAGTGATCATATTAGGTCAATAAAAATTCTGTCCGACTTGGGACAGCTCTTGAGTTTCTAGCTTACGGCTGTCAGTGCGAATTATTCGGTTCGAAGTGTAGTGGCTCAGTAAATCAGTTATTTAAATGAAGTTTTTGACTTGTAATTTAGTCTTACTGCTGATAGTGTGCCTATAAGTTTGGTATAGTACAAGCAAGGGATATAGTGTGGCTTTAAAGCCACTTCGTTACATACAAAAAAAAAAACTATATTCTTTCTCTTTCGTCACAACAAAGGGATTCGTATAGAGACCAGTGGCGGTTGGCCCGTAAGGGCACTTGGGAACGTGCCCTAGTATAATAAACAAAAAAAAAAATAACGTACATATTTTATATTTTCCTCAATGCATGTTATTATTTTATCTAATATTCAGCGCAAAACGCGTTGGCACGATACTGGGCGACCGGGCGTTGAGCGACGTTTGGAAGATGTGCACAGGGAACAGTAAATGTGTGCCTCTGTTGTTTTATCTCTGATTATGATGCGAAAAACAAGAACAACGACAATATCGCTTAACAAGAGATAAACACATGCGATGGATTATACGTCACAAGCAGGGCGCTGTCCCAGATTAACCTACACCAGATACGAATGTACGCGGCGGCAATAGCCTAGAGCTGCCACTTCTTTCTTCCTAGATTTAGCGGTAGAAATAGTACGGACGATTGCGTTGGCTCAAGTTTCAGCAGAGCTTGCGACCGTTGAACGTTTAGTCCGACCGCCTAGGTTACAAAACATCGCCGAACTTGTGAATTTGTGAAATTTATTAGGACGGGATATAAATTTGTAGATGTTGTATATCTGAAAATAGAGATGGGACAAAATTTTAATTTTTCTTCTGGTTTTGTCTGAATTTTTCGAGGATTTCAAATATCTGTTTGCATATTTAAGAGTATAAAAAAGTCTTATAAATAATTTAATGGTGTACATTTTCGCAAATTGTTCGCAAGAATGACCAAACTCTATTTTGATTATCTCAAAAAGGTATGCGTTGGAAATTCCAGGCTTAGTTGACAAACTATCAAATAGAGATATAAATATTTTTTCTAATTTAAAAATATAAAAGAGAAATATTTCGATGGGAGATTTTAAATAGCCAAACATTTGTTTCTTCAGAGTCGTACGCTTTAAAATGCGTTAACAAGTTAGAATTGTTAAGTAAATTGCATTCTTCTGAGAAATTTACGCAAATTTCGCAAGAGTGGATATGTAATGATTTTTTGATTAAATAGCCACATACATAGTTAAATGCATTTTGAGTGGTCACATTTAGCTCCCTGTAGTCACATTCATAAATCGTTATTGTCCCAACTGATTATTTTAAAATATATTTAATTTTCATTAAGCGGAGAACTTGTTTACTCAAGGTAAAAACGAATCCCGGGATTCCTTTCCAGTGTGTGCCCCACTGCTGCTAGTGCCCACGAGCCGCCACTGATATAGACATCTACAACCGAAGCCCAGGGATGGATTTAATTAGTTTTATGTTATGCATAGTTCCCTAACTTCAATTAATGCCGCGTTTGATAATTCACATCGGATGCATCTGAGATGTTGTGAATTTTTTATCATGTGATAGTGAATTAGATCTGAATGTAGATGTTATAAAAAAACGCTCTAGACTTTATTGGCCACGTGATAAAATATCAATGACAAGTTAGAATTTTATACTTTTTAAATTTGAATTTTGAGACTAAAAATCAACTTAAATTTGAAATCTAAACAAAAATTAAACAAACCAATCACTTTTATATTTATGCTAGCATAAACAAATGATAAATTGATAAACTTGGCTTTACAGAACACCTACTTTCTGGCATGAAACGAACATCTCATTCACATCTCATTTCAAATCGAGATATAAAAAATGTTATCTGCACAGGTACATCTGGGATAAACAAATACAGATGTAATGTATTAGATGTATCCGATGTGGATAAAAAAGCGCTTGAGATGTAAAAAATGCATCCGATGTGGATTCTCAAACGCGGCATAAGTATTTCATAAATGTGACTAAACTTAGTTTTAAAGGACAAATTAATCCGAAATAAATATTCGCGACTTGTAATCAAAATCACCATAAAACTGTATTTTTTTTATCTACTATTTATTTGATTTAATTGAAGTATTTAAATATTACATTAAATATTAAATGTTATTCTAGGATGTTACGAAAACTGCTTGAACAACTGTTATTTGTATCCTTTATTATAAAAAATTTAAAAGATTTTGGAATGTATTATAGTCTGGCTTTAATTTCTAAAGTGATTAAGGCATGCAAGCTTTCTCACCAGATCAAAGTTACATTCTTAATAAGGAAAACATAAACAATATCATGTTTCTTTTCAAAATAACAAGAAACAACAGATACGTGGTTACGTTTAATGAAGTAAAAATATAATTAAAATGGAAAATCAAATCTCATGAGAACTATCATCTTCACTTGACGTGTCATTCAGGTTTTTAATGCGCGAATGAGCCGTAAAGACTAGACGATTATTTTGGTAATATGGAGAACACAATTGGATTATAATTCTTAATATATACCTCCAACAACTTCTCTGTTAACATCTAAAACGCTTTCAGACAAAGCAGGATTAACATTTTTTTTCTGACCGTCCTTTTAATGTTATTCCAAATTAACTTCAATGCGTTAAATGTACAATATTACGGTGGTCGCATATTACGGTATGACCGAATACCGTATCCATCTTATCTACAACATATTGTAAGCAAATCATTTTTTAAACTGTAGGTAAATATGATACACCCATTCTGTTCAAAAAAGCAAAATTACGTCTATTCGAGCTTTTGCTTTTGAAATTTTACTAATTTAACAGGAGTAGAAGGGGCATTTGGTGGTAAATTGGGAATTAGTTGTTCACCAGATCATTTCTCGAATAAGGTAGATGTCATATCTTGGTGATATTCTACTAAACAACTTAAAATATTCTTTGCTGATAATAACAAGCAATTCGGCACAAAACCTTTTTTATTACCGGCATGTAATATTATCATACGTTTTCCTCTATTTAGAGGAGCCTTTACAGACCCATTTGGCAGATTAAGCACTATATCCTTTTTTCACAATATCATGAGTGTCTCATCAAGTTACACTATGAATCTATTTTGCCGACAAGCTTTCTCTATTTTGGTAAGGTATTCATTACGTAAAATCTTAATTCTTTGAAATGCCATAATATGCTGTTTTCTATTTAAGTTACGATACCTGAAACCCAAAGAATGGAGCACTTTTCTAGTGTTTTTATTAGTACAGGATCCGAAGTAAGGTCGACCTTCACTCATATGTTTAAAGGATAAAAAGTATTTTAAATCAAATGTAATATATTAAGTAATATATCGCGAGTAGGTTGACTGAAAAATTTCTGTCCAGGATATGATTAATTAAAAATTTAAAAATGATTTTTTTTAAACATTGCACTTGTTTGTTTAATAGACAAATTACATACCAATCAAAATTATAAAGCCTATAGAATATACAAATGTTAGGTTGACTACTTTTTTCCAGTCATAAGTATTGGGTAAGCAGGTATAAACAGGTAAGTCGTTACTAATAATTTGCACTCGTCTGTTTAATAAATAAAACTTATGTAAAAATAAAGGTAATTTCATTACGAACGCGGTGATATAAGGTTGTCTGCGAAAAATATGTCTTAAATTCAGGTTGTTGCGTATTAAAAAGCGAAATATTGCTGCGAATAAATATATGCGACAGAGAGATCCCAACGTTGTATCCCAATGAGCACACGTACTTAAAAAACGTCGAAAACTGGTTAATAGCCAGACGTATAAAACGTGTCAAAACTTATGTTGAAAAAACGAGTGTTTGCTCATTGGGATACAAAAAATTTATTGTATTTAAATATAAATACAGAGGTATTTTAATTATTTTTTTTTTATTAATAAACATTAGTCGGGATCTGATTCATCGGAAGAAAAATTTTGATTATCAACCTCGGAAGGTTCTTCGTCGTCGCTTTCTTTTTCTGTTGTTTCTACAATATCTTTTATTCTTGAAGGTGTTTGATCCCCAATAAACCGTGTTGATTTTAAATAATCATCTAAATCTAAATACCAACCGCAGTGTTCAGGCTGAAGTTTTATGCATTTAGAGTTTGTAGCATTAAGTTAGATGGAATTGACAAAAATAGTTCGTAAAATTTTTTGTTGAAGTGATATCCAGCATGGTGGTATAGTGTTCGAGGCAAAACTTTTTATTTTCTTTAAAAACGTTAGCTGTCTTCTTTTGCAGAGTAATTTTTCAAAAAAATACGATATGTCGCATTATTGACTCTAGTGCAATTCTTCATGCCATACATACTAGCAGTAAACTTTTGAAGGGTGTCTATTTTTTGGTCTATAAAAATATCGGCTTCATCAGTTAATGACGCAAAAACCTTTCATTTCTCAAAAATAACTCAAAAGGTTTTACTTTTCCATTATTGTAAAATGCTGTCGTGTAATCGCAACCTGTAAATGCATGGAAGGCGGGTAGACTTCGGCATAATTTGGATTTCATTTTCAACGCTCAATTGGTGTAATTAATGCAATCAAGATGTTGATTATTTGTCTTCTTAATTGCTGAATTGGCTAGCCAAATTTCAGATTCCGAAATTTTGTGCATATTTCCCAACAAAATAATCAAAACATCAGTATCAGAGGCTTTTATTAAAATTCTTGGGCCTGGGTGCCGCTTTATAACCGTGAAAAATAGTCCTCGTATCCGCCTCTTTATGATGCCATACATAATTAACTTCTTCATTTTTTTTATGTAATTTTGCTAAGCTTAATAAGAGTAAGCACTGATAGTCAACGGTTAAAAAAATTTTTGGTTTTGTATTTTTGTTACCAAATTTTTGTTTTCCCAATAATCGGCCAAAAACTGTACTAAAGCTTCTTTAAAACGATAATTTTTAGGGCTTTGCAAAAAAATCTTTAGGTCTAGTTTGTTGAGGTCCGGAAATTTTGTAGGGAATATCGAACTCTTTTCGACTCTGGGGTTCGGAATCTTTTATTGACTGTGATAAATAGCAATCGAAAACTAAATGTATTTCTGTAGCGTTTGATGAACATATTTTTATAAGTATCGAATCTGCAACTTCTTCCGCAGAGGTCTGAGACATGTCATCAACATTATTACCCCCATTATTACCCCCAGTAACTGTCGTACAGGAAGTGATACTAGAATCCAGACATTTTGGGTCTTCGTCTGCGGCAGATGTATTGGCATGCATGTTAAAAGTGAATTTTTGTAATTAAATAAAAATGTTTGACATATAATTTTTATTAAATGTTTGATTTGTATGAATGACAATATCCTCAGATTTTTTTGTTAATATTCTCAACAACAGTTTTTTAAGGAAATAATGTCGAAAATTAACAAAACCATAGGTGCAAATTTTTCAAAAAATTATTTTCTAATAATTTATTTAGTTAAAACAAAATCAAAATGTGTCATTATTTCATTATAAAAAATATAGAAGATATATTTAATTAGATAATTTGGAATATTCATTTATTATGTGCTTACTGTATTCTTAACATTAAAATTATTAAATTCTTTCCTATATTTTTTATTCAAAGCAGTCACTTTTTTGTAAAAGATGGTATGATAACCAACAAAATCAAGAGACGCATCTTATTTTACGAAAAGCCAATTTCAATGAACAGTTTTTAAAAGTTTCAACGTTAAAATCAATTACACCGTCGTCCAAGTTACACAAAAAATAATTTTTAGCCATTGTTTATTACAATATAATGTTAATAACTAACAACGATAAGCAGAAGCACGTTTCTTAAATTCTATCGCGCATATTCATTCACAGCAATATTTCGCTCTTTAAAAACCGACAACCGGAATTCAAGACCAATTTTTGGCAGACAACCTTATATCACCGTGTTTGCAATGAGATTATCTTTATTTTGTCATACGTCTTGTTTATTAAACAGACGAGTGCAAATTAGTAGTATCGACTTACCTATTTATACCTGCCTACCCAATGGTTATGACTGGAAAAAAATAGTCAACCTTGTCATATATCATTAGTTGTCAGTTGTGACAGGCTTACGGTCAAAGTGCCTGTATCAATTATTACTAGTTGTAATATATTAAATAAAACCTTTCTTCGAAAAGTGTTGCCTTCATATTACCACACTAGCTGTTGTCTGTTGTTCTCTACTCCAAACATTACAAACCTAACGTTTGCATATTCTGCAAGCTTTATACTTTCGAGTGGTATGTAATTTGTCTATTAAAAAATCAAGTGCAATGTTTATTAAAAAAAAAAAAAAAAAAAAAAAAAAAAACATTTAAATTATTAATTAATCATATCCTGGACTGAAATTTTTCAGTCAACCTATTCGCAATATATTACTTAACATATTAAATTTGATATAAAATACTTTTCATCCATTAAACAGACAGGTGAAGGTCGTTTCCCTACTCGGATCTTAGACTATATCAGATTCATAAGGGAAACCGGGAACTAACTTGATTTAATTTTTAATCGTTTGAAAAGATGGTACAATATTATTAGAATAAAAATTATAAACCTTTATTTTTATATTTTCCATCATGCAGTGATATAGACTTACTAGAGATTTTTGAGTCCGCTTTTTTCTTGGAAGACATTCCTGAGTTGTAATAGCTTTTCTCAAACAAAATTACATCCATTATTTTCCAATTTTAATTGGTGGTACATATTTCTAATAACTTTTTGGGTTGAGGGTGATATGCACATATCAAATTTTGGTTATCGTCCTCCTTCTCCTTATCCTCCTTCTTCTCAAATTCTTCTTTACTCTCAGAAGAAACTCTGATGGGTTCTGCATAGAATTAGATAGGATCAGTTGAGGTTAGAGCGCGTTTGGGGTAAATGTATTAATACTAATCTTAATAAGAATATTATTTTGAATACACTTTTACACGTTGAAAGATAAAGATGAGGTTCTGTTATTTTAAAAAAATTTAAACTGTTTGTAATCGTCCCCTTGTGTTTTTTTTTAATTTTTAAATTTTGACTGCACCCGAAGATAAAAAAAAATAAATTTTCCAAACATAAGTAGTGCTAAACGATTAAAAATAAAAACAATGACCTATTGAACCAAGGAAATTTTTATTTAAATAAAATTCTGCTACTTTCATGAAGTTATCCTTATTAAAATATTTACGCTATACTCGCTCCGAATATATTTGCTCGAAGGGTACTATGCGATAAACGTTCACAAGCGTTTAGCTGTAATGGAATTGAAGGCATAACTTTTTTTGCAGTTGACAACTGTGTCTGGACGTCGGCGCTATTTTTGTGACTTATATAAATATAGATATATTAACCGTAGAACGGTAACGTTTAATTTCTACCCCTTGTTGGTATGGACACGTAAAATTTACGCGTTCGCAAATTTTCACATGTACACTTTGTAAAATTACCTGTTTCAGTAGTTTTTTTTTTTTATCGGAACCTAAAATAGTATTTTTAACATATTTTTATAACACAACAATATTTTAAAATGAAAACTGAATTTAAAAATAAAGAGAACATTTTTTTATTTGATTTTTTTTTGAAACACGTGCATATTTTTATTTGGTATTCCCCACACTGTTTTGGTATATTTTACGCAGTACGGAATTGCCATTATTTCCTTTAATGTAGGACAAAGGTAGTAAAGGACCCTTTTTGATCCCCTCGTCTTCTATATTTGTACTGGTTAAAAAAGTTTCTTTAATATCTATTGCACTTACTGTACTTAGGTATCCCATTTTTTGACGTTGTGATTGCCATGGTTTATTAAGACTTTTGTAAAGTACTCAAAACGTGTTAAAATTTTACCACCTAATTCTTCAACATTGTGTGACTAAATTATGTATGAATTGATGCAAGCCATGTTTATCATATTGTAAAAGACAGATAGGGCTATTTGCAGCGACAGTCGTTAAGAAATAAGCAAAGCCTAAAATTTTAAGCTTGGCGACACGTCAGATAAACGTACAACAAATAACTGCTTATTGGTATGGATGCGCATTTCTTACGTGTATTCTTTTCAAAATCAAGCCACATCTTCTTTTGCTAAATAGTTGCAACTCTGACACCTAGAAATCTTCACAAGTGGATGTTTCCTGAGGCACTGCTGAACGCTCAAGATCGCGACTCAAAATAATTAGTGGAGAGGGCCCTTTCGCTACAAAACACACGTAAATTTTACGTACGATATCGCTCTAGGGTTAATATTACTGATATCTAATTGTGGGATAATACAATTTATCTATGCTGTCAACATACAAAACAATTTAAAATAGTAGAAGAGCATTCAAGAGATTAAGTATACTTATTTTATTTTTACTTCCCTCGATAAAATGGCAGTATTGTAATTGTGAAAATTTACATTTTCACGTTTTAGGATCCATAGATTACGAAAAACATGTTTTCTCCATTCCATCGGTCTGTCTGCCGTCCGCCGTGTTGTCTGCCGTCTGTCTGTTGGCGCGATAGTTCAAAAACGGCTTAAGAGAAAAACTTCAAGTTTTGTATGCAGCTAAGGCTTTCACTTGGCTTAAAACCGGTTATACTTCCAATCAGATATATACAGACTGAGCAGTTAAAAAAAATAATAAAAGTCAGCAGATTTCAACTAAAATTAGTTTCTTATAAAATTGGTATCTGATCAAAGATAACAAATCATAAATTACTTTTTAAAAATTCAAAATGGCTTCCCTGTTTTTAAAAATTATACAGAGTTTTTTTAATGGTATGCTAATATTGTAGGGTGTGATCCCTCAGGTCATTTTATAAAGAAAAGTTCATAATATAACATAGTCCAGAATTGCTAAAATTTTTTAATTAGTACCTTTATTATTTTCAATTTTGGTATGTGCTAATAGATTATAAAACCGTATACTTTAGTCAAAAAAGTTATTTTATTGCTTCAACAGTGGCGTTTATCTTATCGCTCATCAATTAAATTAAAATTTCTTAATTTTGCAGTATTGACGATTAATTTTAATTATTTTAATCTAAAACCGAGCGGCTGACGAGAAAAATATAGGATGCCGTATTGATGTAGAATTGACCAGTTAAATGAATAAAAATATCAGCATGGAAAAATATCGGTGGCGCACTACTTTTTTGTAGAAAATATCAGATGGCATGTCAGCAGAGATGCCACTGGTAAAGAAATAAAATAAATTTTCTCACTTAAATATATGGTTTTATATCCTATTATACATGTTACAATTAAAAATTATATCTAACTATTTTCAGACATTAAAAAATATCTCTTTAAAAAACAAATTTTCAACTGCCTATAGCAAAAATTAAAGCCGTTGCGGATATGTGTTCATATGAATTTTTCTTTATAAATTGACCTTCAATATAAGCATACCATTTAAAAACACCCTGTACAAATTGTAAAAACAGGGAAGCCATTTTGAATTTTTAAAAAGTAATTTATGATCTGTCATCTTTTATCAGATACCGATTTAATCAGAAACCAATTTTAGTCGAAATCTGCTGACTTCTAAAAATAAAGGTTTTTTTTACCTACTCACCCTACATATATCTAATTAAGTATAACTGGTTTTAAGCCAAGAGGAAGCCATACTTGCATACAAAATTTAAAGTATTTCTCTTAAGTCGTTTTTGAGCTATCGCGCCAACAGACAGACGGCAGACAACAGACGGCGGACGGCATACAGACCGACGGAATAGAGAAAACACGTTTTTCGTAATCTAGGGAGCCGAAAACGTGAAAATCTAAATTTTCACGATTACATTACTTCCCTTTCATCGAAGGAAGTAAAAATATTTTTAAAGGTGATGTATCAGTCTCCTTAGTTTTTTTTGTATGTTACGCGCTGGCTTTAGAGCTTTAAAGTCACACTATATCTCTTGCTGGTAATATAAAACATTTAAACTTCCCATTTTTTGCGAATACTGTGACTCTTACAATCTCTATCAGCGGAATGAGCATTACTTTTGATTTCATTTTAAGTTTATTTTTATAGTGTAGGGGATCCAAGTTCAACAGTATGTTATTATTACTCAGTTTGTGATAGTTGTGTTATGAATCCATAATCCACGTGCCTTACGTCTAGGGTGGCATAATGCTCTAGTTTGCTACACTTACTTCCTTCATTGTGTGAGTTGACGTGATAATATATTTTTTTCTATTTTTATTTCCTGTCGGAGTCCCTGAAACCCCATAGTTTTGTGGAAACTAAATGTAACTGAAGTTAAAG